GGGGCTCTGCAGGCAGGTGGAGGGGGGCGCTCCCTGGCCTCCCCCAATCCTCAGCAGCTGTACTTCACTCTGGTCCCAGATGCATGAACGTGTACACAGAGAACACGCATGTATATATATGTACACACACGTGCATACACACATACAGATCCGTAACCTACGTGTACACACACAGGCGCACAATCTGACACGTGAAATGGTTAGTGAGGATTCCACGACGAAATCCTCTTTGACAGCAACTGCACTAGAATGTAATCCAGACAACGCGCCATGACCGTCTCATCCAGCCCTTCCCAGCTCTTTGTGGGCATTTAATAACAGTTTAGGGTGCTAACCCCTTAGGTCGTTGGCTGCTACTCTTTCCAGTGACTGGGGTGCATTTGAGGGCAATCGTGTCAGGAATAGCCCCACTGGAGACCCAGGTGGGGACGGTGCTGGGCCAGGTACGTGGGCCGCTGATCTACTCTCCAGTGAAATGGGGCTTAGAGCAAACGTCCCACGTGACTCTGAACTGCTGCCTGATGACAGCAGGTGCCCACCCTGTTCTAAGTGGGAAGATGCTTCCTCTGGGCAGGGCATTTCCAGATCAATCCTAATATGGTTTGGGAAGTTTTACTTGAATGCAAGAGGACAAGCCAGTGGAAGCAGAAAGCAACACCGTGGCATTTTTATTCTCTCAGATAAATATTACTATTTCTGCATGTCTACTCCCAGCCAAGTGAACACTGACAAGCATGCCCAGAAACATCCTCTACCATGCTGAGCCCCATGGGGGGCAGGGGTAGGATGGGACAGAGAAATCAAACTCTAAAATTCAAGAACCTCATTAGCGTCCCTGTCTCGCGATGCCGATCAGCTTAGTGTGCTCTATAATTGTTTTTAAGCCCCTTTGTAATTCTTATTATATATCAGTTCTAATTTCTAGTGTTGTTTGTACATTTTTTTTTCTTGCTTAAATGTTGTAGACTTCTGGACAAGATGGGGTGGGGGAACAAGGGGTGGACACCCTGCATTCAAAAAAGCCCCTTGGACCGATATAGAGACAAGCGAAAATGTACGTCAGCCCTAGCAACCAAGGGTGTTCACTACTCACCACCAAAACCTCAAAGAATCCAGCCAGAGAGTCAGAAAATGGATGAATTACAAGAGGCCATTAGTTCAGAAGAGAGAAGGTGAGAGGAGGTCATGTGGCCAAGTGAAAGGTGGAGGGGAGGCAGCCAGAGCGCTGTTGGGGGTCTGCTGAGCGCCCTGCCCCAGCAGCTAGGGGCCCAGCACATTGTTCCTTGTATGAGACGCCTGGCTCTTACCCCCAACAGTTGGATCTCTGATCGGGGCTCCCACCCCCATCCCTGCTGGTCCTTTTTTGTCTGGGAAAAGGATTTGGGCAGAAACCCACTCTGCTCTCCAAAAGAATCTGTCCCAACTTTTCCTGACAGTTCTTTGTCAGAAAAGAAAAATCACCAGACCTATGAAAACATTGCACCTCTCCAAAGAAGGGCATCATTTTTCTAAGGACTCAAAGGTGTTACTTCCATGTTTCACAGAATCACTGCACAAAGAATAAAAGACATTCTGGTGAAATCTGACTTGTGAACTCAGTCCACCATTGCATCTCCAGCACGGGAGAGATCGACTGTAAAGACTGAGCAGCGTGAGACAAGGAAAAGTGATCGGATGGGAAAACCCAGGAGTTCACGAGTCAGCAAGAAACACCACAAGAGAGGAGGTAAACAGCAGCTCATGTCCTGGAGAATGCTAACGAGGAAGAAAAACTCGAGAAAGTCAGTACAGAAAGAAAAGACACGGAGGACACGTGAGAAATAGAGAAGACAGATCTCTGTCCTCATACATGCATAAGTAGGGGTTTCTGAAAGCACAGATAATTTTTTAAATAAAAATAAAAAGCAAAACAGGGAATAAATCTAAGAGCTTATGACTTGAAAAGCAGAAAATTAAATGGCCAACCCTCTGGCAAATTGAATAAAGGAAAGAAAAAAATGCTTCACCTTCTTCTTACCCGCCATCTAGACCGGCTCCATCCTTCTCCACCTGCCCTGTGTCTGGGGGATGGACCCGTGTGGGCTGCCTCATCCAGGTCTGGCACAGAGTGAGAGGAGCACA